GAGAATAAATATAGCATTCTAACACAAAGCAGTTATACGGTGAAAGTCAAAATACAGCTGTTTCTAGAGAATAAATATAGCATTCTAACACAAAGCAGTTATTTCGCTAGGTAGACCTAAGTGGAGGATACCTTTAAACTCTAAAGCACCATAAAGGAAATCATTTAAAAATTCTGACAGTGACTCCCTCATGTTAGCATCACTGCAAATTCTTAACTTCTTCAGAAATGATATGAAATTTAAAAAAAATTTTAAGTACTGTATCTTCAATGTAGAAAATCTGTAATACATTTAATTTTATACATGGAAATTGAGGAGACCTATAATTCCACCATGAAAAAAAATCATTAAAAATTCTGTATATTGACCTCTAATTTCCTTTCTGTTAAAAGGTCTAATCAAGATTAAACAAAAATGAGTCCAAGAGCTGCTTCGTTTATTCAATATTAGGATAGAAGGTCTCCTAAGAAGAACTTTATAGGTGCAAATAAACAAGTAGACTTTAAACTATACGCAAATCCATATAAAGTACTTACATATTTAACAGATGGACTCAACAGACCACAGCTGAAATTACTTGGTGATCAGTTTTAGCCTAACTGCAGTTTTTGGTACATGATCCAAAAGAGACATACAGGGTGATCATAAAACTCTGACAGAAAGCTGCTTAGAACCAAGAGGAGTCGTGCTGAATAGAAGTACCTAAGCCACAGACCTCCACCGCTTCGGTGTCATCAGCCTCTAAGAATATGATGACAGCAGTGGGTCCTCTTTTAAAATTTACATATAAGCACATAATCGGAAAAATTCAGATGTATTTTCAGGGGGTTCATTGATCCTCTCTCTACAAATATGGGGCCCCGGGCCTCAAGATCAAAAACCCCCAATACAAGGGGAAGCAGCAAAAGAGTTCTGTCTTTTATGTGTTTATAAAATAAACACTGAAAAACTGCCAGAAGATGGGATAATGCATTTGTTCAGTAAAAACTTACTGAGCACCTGTGTGTAGAGGGATGTAAATACTTGACTCAGCGTTCAAATACATATGATCATTTGCTCTGTGTTCCGCCCCGTGTTAGTGCTGGACACCCCACAGGGGACAGACACGCATGAGACCTGCCTCAGGCAATGCACAGGAATAAAATCCACTTTCTTCAGCGGATCTCACAATGTGAAAAAGGCAGAGATGTGTGTAAACACGCACAAGTCACAATCCACTGCTACGACACCACAATAATTACACGCAAGGTACAGGAGTAGCTCAGAAGGGGGAAAACCAGAAAAGTGTTGTAGAAAGAAACGACTGAACCGTCCACCGGAGGGTAGGCAGAAAAGCCACTAGGTGTGAGACAGCACCGCAAGTCAGGAAAGCAAACACAACCTGGGCCCTCTGTGGTTTACAAAGCACTGCACAGCCTCACGTGATGCATTAATTAAAATCTACCCGCAAACGACTCACATACACATCTGCAACCCAGGCCTCTCTAAGCTCCAGGCCCACGTATGCATATATCTTACTGACAATTCTTCTTCAGTGTCTGAAAAGTACCCCCATGCCTCAAACTAAAAGCATGTTCTTCCTCCTGAAACCTGATCCTATTCCAAATTTCACTAACACAGCAAACGATGCCATGACCCATCCAGTTGTACAAGACGGAAACCGGGAAATGAGTCTTGACACCTGACTCCTTGGTCCTCCATCACCAAGTCCCAGCGACTTTATCTCCCTGTTATGGCTCAAATCCACCCACACATCTCCACGTCCATCAGCACTGCCCTACTTCGAGTCAGTGCCATCCTGCACCAGGACGCACGCATTCATCTCCTGCACGGTCTGCCACATTCGTCCCAGACCCTTCCCTTGCATTCCCTACACTGCAGCTGGGGGACTTTCAGATGGAAACCTAACCGCACCACCTCCACTACAGCACTCCTTTCGCACACTCTGTCCCACATCAGTTTCTTCTGTTCCTGTAGGAGAAAGGCAAAGTCCCTCATGACAAGCCCCCAGACAGCGTGACCCTGCCACCTCTCAGCCTCACCACAGGAAACATCAGCAGTGCTTCTCATGTTACATATGCAGAAACTGAGTCACCAAGAGATTGTAGGGTTTTGCACAAGGCAAGTGCAGTTGGTTGCAGAACGATTAGAGAATCCGATTGTTACGACTTACTGTTCAGTGCTCTCTACTAACAAAGCTATTTCCATTTCTCAAATCACCTGAAAATAAATCTTTGATATAAAAGTGCAAGTATCTTTAAAAAACTTAAACATCATAAATTTAGGTGTCCTTTATAGCCAAAAAAAAAAGGATAAATACTTCCACATTTGCATATGCAAACTTTAATGAAGCACCTACTAAATGCCATGCCTGGCACTGGCGATACAGAAGTGCATAAGGGAGCCTAAGTCTCTTTTAAACCACTTTAGTAAAATATAATTGACGTGTAAAAAGCAGGACACATTTAATGTGCACAGTCAACGAGCTTGAGAATAAGCAGGTACCAGTGAAACCATCACCACCATGAAGGCCATAAACACAGCCAAGTCTCTTTTCTAACGGAATCTGATGCTCTAAAGGGTAAAGATAGGGTTAAACAACTTAAGGGAAACAAAAACTGTGGGATGAGAGGGGAAGGAGACGCCATGGCACGCCGGGGATAGACTGTTAGGTCAGGCGACCCAGAAAGCTCTGAGAAGGCGATGCTGCTGATGGAACCCGAGCGAAAAGGAAGAGCCAGCCTGGGAGAACTCACATTCCAGAAAGAGAGCTGGCAGTGCAGGAGCCTGGCTAGTCTGAAAGGCCAGCTTAGCTGAAGCCTAGTGAGTAAGAGGGCTCACGGGACACGGGGAGGGCCCACGAGGGGCCGGCACTGCCAGATCTGAAACGGGGCCTTCTCCAGTCTTGTCATCAGAATTTTTTGAAAGGGACTCATTCAGGGACTAAGGCAACTCTTCTTCTTAAGGACCTTTTGGCCACTTTAGAATCAAGTCTAAAAAAATAATTTGTCCTAAAGTACTATTTTTTTTTCACTTCCAAGCATTTATATTGAATGATTACCAGCTAAATTTTAATTTGCCTTGAAATGTTTATAAGATTAATCAATTATCTTAATAAACAGGATAATCTACCTCCCCTACCTCAGACCCAGAAACCTAAACAAACTTTGCAACGAACCACACTGAAAAATCAACCATAAAAGAAAAACAGCGCCCCCAAACCAGAATTTCACAATCACATCCTCAAGACAAGGCTCTTCAAGAAAAAGAACACAGGGCAACTAAATACAGTCTTCTCCAAGAGGGAAAAAGTCCTAAACGGAAACTTAACAACACGTGCACGCGGGCAAATCCCCAACTACCTGAGACAAAGGGCCCCAGGCCTGCAGGGGCCGCGGCCACCCCGTCCCCGCACCCGCACCCGCGCTGCGGGGCAGAGCAGCAAGGCAGGCAGGAGGCAGAGCTGGCCGGGCACACGCGTCCCTGACGACCAGGCTCCCCGGGTCACCGGGCTGCTGACAGAAGTGTCTCCCCACTCCATTCAGTCCAAAGGGTGTTTACTACTGTTTCTTATGTAACAGCAAATCAGAGCTTACACGATAGGAAAAGGGAGGAGAGAATGTTTAAATAAACCAGGAAAACACAAGCTGCACATGCAGCGTCCTCCTCCCAGACCTCTGACCCCATTCCCTTCGGATGTGTCCTTATCCTTATTAACCCAGGCTCCGCCACCTCTCCTGTCCTCTCAAGCCGCCCCGTGGGATCCGAAAGCACCGTGCAACCAGGACTCGGCAGGGGAGGGGAAATCACACCCAGCGACAAGGCTTCCGAGCGAGACGACAACGGGCTTCACCCCGCTGAGGACCCGTCTACCTGAGAACGTCAAGGACAAAACGACAGGAACAATAACCATCACTAGTGCAATTTCTTGTATTATGTCTAAACAAAAAAATCCAACAGCTTAAGGACTGAAGGTGCTACGAAATCCGAAGCAACTTTAACCAACTGGAGTCAAGGAGACTCAGGCCTGCTCTGCTAAGATTTCCCGAGCACCGGTCTGATTCGATTCTGGTCCGGCGTGCAAACCCCAGAATACCGCTGCAGGCACCTGCTCCTTTGCTGGAACTGGCTAGGCGCCCAAAAGAGCTTATTTAAAATACAGACAGGAAACTGCCTCTCCAGCCTGAGTAGGTATCGTTTGCTTCATAATGCTACTTACTTCACCCTCCCTCACCAGACGCAGCGTTGAACTCTAGAGTAAACACGTGCACAGATCTTAAACACAGCCAGCTATAAGCGTGCATCGTACAGAAGGGAGTGCTCAGGGCGGACAAGAGGATTCTGATTAGGAGCCCCTTTAAAATGCCAAGCAACTGGTTATTCAGGAGAAATAAACATAAACATCCTCCCTAGAAAGTTTTAGAGACAAATGTATTCAAATTAGAGCTCTTTAAATGCCTAAACACGGTGAGTGAAAGTTTTAAAATACAAAGATAAAAACCAAGAAGGGTCCGTTACACCTCCCACCCACCGACACACCCCAGTGAACAGAGGACCAGCGCCGCTGAGTGTCAGCAAACTTCTCTCCAGCGTCTGATGCAGGTGTCTCAGAACAGCACAGTCTTACTAACGAGAAGGAATGCACACTCTCATGGTATTTAGGTACATAACGAAAAATGCAGCATTTAAAATACAGGTTCATTTTCAAAATTATTTAACACTTCTAAGTGCACCGTGCACGTAACTGTTAACTACAAGAAGAGCTCCCTAAGTCATTCTGTTATTCCTACTTCCTAAACGAGGCATAAAGAAACGAGGCTGTCTGCAGCGCTGGGTCGTGCGACCGCCAGCAATTCCTTCCCCCCGTAAGCCCACCCTCTGCAATGGGCTTTGCCGTGATTCCTCATCCCTTACATCTGGGCTGGGCTCGAGTCTGATCTTGGCAAACAGGATGTGGCAGAAGTGACCCTGCAGAACTCCGACTCTAAGTCTCCTGACACACGGGAAACAAGTGAGCCTCCTCGAGCCAGACCCAGCAGCACCAGGCCACCAGCCCGACAGGCCCCAGCAGGGATGGCAGCAGCCCCGGGAGCAGCCCCAGACGAGGCGAAGGAGCAGCCGCGCAGCAGAGCCAGCCCACAGGCCGACCCCTGCAGCCAGCAGCAGCACTGAGCAACATTAAACCCAGGCACATGTAAATGCAGGGCCTAGCCTCTCTGCCAACTCACGCTGCGATCTACTGTTTGGTCTGGAAACAAATACATCTTGTAGTCTAATTCAGTTTTATAGATACAAGGGAAGTCGCATTGAAAAATAAGAGTTTATTTTTTAAGCCATTATCTGAAAGGAGGATGCGCCGAGCACAGAAATACACCTTTTCACCATCTTAAAAGAACGGAAATAGATACACACAATGAATTCTGCAATGTAACAATGTAAAACTGGTAAAACTTTATACAAAGAGTACTTTCTCTTTGTTCCCAAGGACACACAGGAATTCATTTAAGAACTAACAGCCCATATATAGTTTACCCACAAAAACTGAACTCCGCACGTGATCTAAAAGAAAACCTGAATGGCTGCCAGGCAACTAAAAAACAAAGAAATGATACATTTTTATGAGTCTTGTGGCTTTCAACAAAAAGCACTGCTACGTAGTATTTAAACAGTACACGTTCATACTTGAACGGAAGCACTGAGCGAGGAGTGGGCCACGACAGCAAGAACAAGCACATTCTCCATGTATGCTTTAAGGGTCGGCGAGCACTTTCGGGAAAGGGTTGTCAGGGGGTAAATATTTTAGGATTTGCAAGCCAGGCAGTCTGCTGTAACTATGCACCCCTGACACTGTAGAATGAAAACAGCCATAGACAACATACAAAATAAGCAGGGCTGTGTTCTAATAAAGCTTTATTTATAAAAGCAGGCCGTGGACCAGTCTGCCAGCCCGTTTTAGATGCTCAGATCTCTTCAGTCGAAGTGCATCTGGTGTGTTAGCTGTGGTCAGGCTGACTGATGTGTGTGCTGACTCATCACGAGACCTGCCAGAAAGCACTCTGCATTCACGTCCTGCTCTCTGTAAAACAGCGCTGGGCGCGTGTGACGATGAACTGCACGTGACAACTTGGCTCGGCTGGGGCGCCCAGCTGTTTGGTCAAACATGAGACTGAATGTTGCTATGACGGTATTCGTAGATGTATTAACACCTGCAATCAGCTGGCCTTAAGTAAAGGAGGTCACTGATAGTGTGGGTGGGCCTCATCCAAGCAAACCCGAAAATCCCGAGAAGCAGTCCTGCCTCACGACCGTGACACACAAATCCTGCCTGAGTTCCTACCCTGCCTGCCGCCCGCCTTACACATTTGAGATTTTTCAGCCCCCGTAATTACTAAATTCCTGAAATAGACGCCTCTGTCTTAGACACGTGACTGTCTGTGAGATGGATTTATAGCTGCCTCCTGTCACTTCTACTTCTCTGGAGAACTCTGACTGATACAAGGTACTAAGGTCCCACAATCCCAGACTTTAAAGAGGAGAGACTCTGACTCCTGTGCTTTGCCCACAACTGTGTGAGAAGCTGCAGCAGACTGTGTTACCTCTTGAGATCATCCAGTCAATCCCCTACCTCCTTGCAAGACGATACACAAGGACCTACCCAGGTGCAGACGTGTGGCTGCGCTGAGCTTGCAGGGAAAGGACAGATGTCCTCGCGTTACTGACTTGGGGAGTGCCCGTGCCGTGTTCTGGCCGACAGAATGTGGACAGACACGAC